GGGGTTCATGCGTAGCCTATTTTCTATTTACCTGATCACGATGCATAGTAGTGACTTTTGAACATAACTACAATATCATATTATGCACATAAAAAAAGTCACTCTAAATATCGAATTGAAATCGAAAAATTACCCTTTAACTCTTTTTGATACAACGACATATCTTTAACATGAAGGGATAATTGGCAATGACACCCATCATTTGCTTAAACTTTCTAGTTAGTTATCTATGCTTTCAATGGCAAGTCAAGTCTAGCATAATATGATGATGTCCACAAGTGGGCAGTGAAATTTTTCTTTTTCCTACTTTATTTACCTTGTGCACATCGAGTACCATTTAATATCATAATATATTGATCTTAGTAATAACGCAAATAGACGTGACGGGTAGCATAAAATTATGTGCATACCTATTCATTTTTCTTACATTGTTTTACACGTCAACAAGTCACATGTGACATCAAATTATATCGAACAATATAATAAACAAAAAAGATTTAATTATTACTATCCAATTCACGTTACCAATCCAACCGTAATTGAAAAAAGAAAAGAAAAAAGAAAAGGTGTAATTATTATCCTATATCTGAATAGAGCAATGTGTTAGATATGGCCGGAAGTGGGTCCATTTTTGCTAGGCTAATTTTCATCTTTGAGGTAACATGGGTAACATGGCCGCTTCATTAGGAATTTGTAACTATAAATCATTCCACCAAAGACCCTCTAAAAAAGTAAGGGATCCCATCAAACTTTTGTCAAAAAGGACCCCCCAATAATGCCTTGATGAACAATTTTTCCTGTGCTTAAAGTTTTAAGAATTTTGACTTACTGTCACATGGACCAAACCTTTTTTGACCTTCGAGCAATGTTATCATTAGCAAACTCATAATTTTTTCCTTCACCAAAGGCAACTAACTATGGTTAGTAACCTTTAAATTGGGTAAGAGGGTATGAATGCAAGAAAAGGTAAGGATTAGGGTCGTTTTCTACATAATTTCCTTGGGAGAAAATACTAAAAGAGAGGAAAGTACGCTCCTTTGTCTATTTATTTAGTCCTTGTTTGACAGCTACTTTTTTTATTTTATTTTTTTTTATGTAAAATGAGTTTTTGAATAAATTTTTTTGGTAAATGTGTGGTTAAAAAGTAAGAAAAATTTTGAGGTTACGTGAAGAATATTTTATTGTAAGAAAGTATGGTTGAAAATGAGTATGAGAAAAAATAGTTTTAAAAGAATAATTGTCATATATGGCGTTAGTTAAAAATACCGTAATAGAAAAGTTGAGTTAGTGCTTTATTTGCAAAATAAATGTGGCGTAATTATAAAAAATTCGTGGTGTGAATATAATCCTCATGTATTAATACAATTTCGACAGTCGATCAAAATTTTTTTTTTTTTTTTCCATGCTGAACAGGTCAACGAAAAGGTGATCTAGGAAGAACTTGGGCCTGTCCTTGGGCTAGAACCTAATTATCTGAACTCGTATACCAGTCTATGGGCTTTATACACGGCACAGGTCCTGGTTCGGAATCTATCGGCCCATCACTTATTTTAGAATCATTATTGTTCAAAAAGAAAAAAAAATGATATAATGACCAGAAAATAATACAAAATTGAGAAATATTGGAAAACATACAATAGCTGAAAAATACAATACAAGTCAAGGGTGGTCACATTTTGTTATTTGTTTCTAATTTAAAAGTAATTTGTTGTCTTCATTTCATAAACAATAATATCTCCAATATTTTAAAAATCAATAAACTTGGACTTGGGAGAAAAATAATAGAAAATAATATGAGACTTAAATTTTCACTTATTCAAGTTAAATGTAGGGGCGTAGCTAGCGCCTAGTGAGCTCTTGCGATCACTAGTGCTAGCTCCGTCAAATTTTTTTCTTTATAATGGGCAACTACTTGGGTAGCTGTCAAGTGGCTACTCGTGCTTACTTGGATTCCTGGATATATAACTGGTTAGATGGTTGTTCATTTGAAACCAGGCCATCCCCAGATAGTTCAGTGTTATGAACCATTGATGAGTTTTCTAATGATTTTTTAAGTGGGTGTGGGTGATCTGATGCATTGTTTAGAAAAGTGGATCTTCTGGGATAACAAAATTGCTTATAACCATGAGTGTCTTGTATAATAAAAAAGGTTGAACCCCAACCTTAAGGGCCCCCACCGACCCTGCCCTGGGCCATCGTGGAGGAGGTAAATCGCAGGATGTGCCTCCCAGGAGCCAGGGTGGAGAGCACATGGATAGGCCAAAACTGTTAACCCATATGGTAACTCCCGCTTGCAACAAAGCTAATTCCACCTTGTGGGGAATCGAACTCTGCACACTGCCGCGCTAAGCCCTATCCGCCCTCTCCTTTGCCACTGGGAGATATGCCCTGGGGGCTGAGTGTCTTGTATAATAACTTTTAGTACAAGGTGTATAAGGCAGAAAGGCGAGAGTATATACTTAAGTGTGAAGATGATGTGTGCAAATTCAAGTTTAGGGCATCGAAAAATGGAATACAGATATGTTCATAGGTCTTGTTTGAGCCCCATTTTTGGGAAGAAAATGAATTTTTGAATAGTGTATTGATGTGAAATGTGTGGTTAAAAAATAAGTAAAAGTCTTGGATTTACAATATTATTTTATTGAAGAATAAGTGGTTGAAAATGATGTCAAAATATTGTTTAAGAATGTATTTTTTTTTTTGGGAAAGAATGAGGCTCAAATAAGGGCATAATTCGATATAGTTGACTTTAGAGATGACAATCGAGATCATTGGCCCGGGCCGCTCGTGGCTCAGCTTGGAAAAAGCTCAAGCCCGCCCGACTTAAGGCTCGGTCCGAGCCCCATTTTTGGGTGTCGGACAAAGTCCGGCCAGTTCGTGTGGCTCGTCGGCTTGAAAAAAAATATATTAAAAAAATTAAAATTACCGCAACATTGCTGCCTTTTTTATTTTAAAAAAATAGGAAAAAAAAATGAGCCTCCCCCGTTCAGCTCGGAAAGGCTCGAGCCAAAAGCTCGGATTGAGACTAATTTTTTTTGTTGAGCTTTTGCTCAGGTTGGCTTGGGCCTAAAAAAAAGCTCGGTCATTTTACCCAAGTTGAGTTCGAGTCTTGAATTTCGACTAGCAAATCGGTTCAATTCGATTTGTTGACATCCCTAATTGACATGGACATAATTTCTCAGTGGATTTAGTTATGCAAGATCATAAACATGGGAAGTGCACTGATAGAAAATTGTAGCAAGCACAAATTAATACACATGGATGAAGACTATTTACACGCTATTTCCATGAGTAACATGACAAAGATGTGACGTAACGTAACGTAACGTAACATTAAGTGATGGGAATGCCACCAGAGCTTGGGAGCATGCATTGGAGGGTATAATGGGTGACTCTGAGGAATCATATCTCAAGCTACCCATCATTGTTCAGACTCATGAAGAGAACTCAAGAATCAATTAGCGTTCTTCCATTTTTAAATATTCAAAATCTTTCCATAAATATTGAAGCTTCAAGGCTATTGTTTTCTTCGAACCTTGAAATTCTTGCCTTAAAATTTCCCAGTTTATCCAAGACGTAACTGAAATCAGCTGTAGATAATTAACCCACCAACAAGCCTTCTATCCTATTATCACTTGGGATAGATCTGAAATATATTCAATACAGTGATACACTATGACATCATAGTTAAGCAAGACGTAAGTAAATCCTCTTTCTTAGAAATTAATTACATAATTCTAGCCATGTTTTTCAAGATGTATCTGAAATTTGCACTAAAAATCACGCCACCGGCCTTCTAGCATATTTCCACTTTATGTTATTTTCACTTGATGGAATGAAACACATAACTTGACTTTCAGAGAGAAAATTTGTAGGAAATTTTGTCCCAATTAGATTAGCCAGGGACCCTCTGTTTGTTTATA